ATAAAAGAACTGTGATTTTTGTATCTGGCCATGGAGCCAAGCGTTGGGAGCTCAATTCTCCACTCTGCCTCTTTGACAGAGATTGGACTCAATGACACATAGGGTCCCTTCAAGTTCTGCAGTTCTAAGATGATTATGATGATGATTAGGAGGACGATTTCTATAACATGCCATCTTTTATTCTGCAACTTATGTCTGAGTTTATGGGTGGGTTTGGAAATGTTTATGAGTAATCTGGTGAGAAAGGCCAGATTACTCATAAACATGTTTGAACTTGCTTATGGGTTCCAAGGCAGATTGCAGAGAAAATGTGAAATGGCATAGCAATCTTCCCCCTCATGATGATGACGATGATTAAGCCGCAATCCTCAAAACTTTTTTTTTATTTAAAAGAGCTAGGAGAGCAGAAGACATAAACATTAAGAGAACATTGTTTACTGTGTTCAAAGTAAGTGAAACAGATTAATATATTTGTGTCTACAGTACTTACCTACCTATCTACCTATTTGGTCAGAAACGCAGACATTGTTTCCATGACCTTTTGTTACCCTGAATAAATGTGTATTATTTTCAAGATGAGTTATATAGGACACAGGGAACAAGTACACATACATCAGAAGAGCTTCTAGATTTATATTTACATTCCACCATTGAATGCTTCATCTTCTGTGTTGTATAACTGCTACATTGGACAGAGTACTTTTAGAGTACTGTATTCAGAGCAACTCAAGAAGGCTGGAGTCAAAACATCTAGCAAATTGCAATTTTTTCTGTCTTGTTAGTCGCTTTAACCAATGCATAAGTATGTTTGCCATAAAAAAGGGAAGCACTGTGAGTAGTAGGTTAGCAGGAAATAGGCGAGAATTTTGTTTCGGGTTTTCTGCTTCTAATAAGAATTATGTGACCACATCCATCATATGAAACGAGGAGAATGAAGGAAGCTTGCTAAATTCTTCCTTCACATCGGCTCAGACAGCTGTGACACAATAAGACAATTTGATGAGGAATTTTCAAGCCCCATGAAACTCCTGACCCTCTCTGTGTGAGAGGAAGGCAAAGCACCTCTCCTTGAAGGAGCTCTGCAAGATACACACAATATCTCTGTGTAAAATATTGCTTTTTTAACATGATTGATTCGTCTGAAAAGTGGTGGTGGAGGAAAGCTTTGCAGATACCCTGGACTGCCAGAAAGACAAACAAGTGGGTGCTATTTCAAATCATGCCTGAACTTTTCCGGGAGGCAAAAATGTTGAAACTGAAACTGTCCTACTTTGGGCACATCATGAGAAGGCAGGATTATCTGGAAAAGACAATAAGGATAGCAGAGGTGGAAGGCAGCAGGACAAGGGGAAGATAAAATATGGGCTGGCTCTTTAAAGGAAGCCACAGGTTTGAGTCTGCCAGAGCTGAGCAGGACAGCTGAGGAGAGGACATTATTTATGGAGAGCGCTCATTCTTAGGGTCACCGTGAAACAGAGGTGTCTCAATGCTACAGAACACCAGCAGTCCTGAAAATACGGGTTTCCTTTCAAAGGGGAAAATATTTTCTATCATTCTTTCTCTTTACAGCAAACCTAGAAGGACTTGATGAATGTCCAAAATGATCCAACAATCTCCCAAGACTTCTGATTTTTAAAAAAATCCATAAAACTCTGAGTTTGAATTTCATTCTGTAGGACAACCCATCCTGCCAGAGGCTCACCATTATTTGTTAAAAAGAAGGAAAGAAATGGATGTCCTTCTCAGGAAGAAGACAAGCTTGAGAAACTACCCCTGCTTGAAATGTCTTTTTCTACCCTGATTATTAAAAGGAACTTATTTTCTATCATGCATTTCATGTGGCCACTCTAGCTTTATGCCTAACAACAATACCTCAGCCTAAGCTATTCCATGGAGGTTGAAATTTCCCTGGCACCTGAAAACTGTTCCATGAGTTTATTCATAAGATTTTGGTAAGTCAGTTACCTCAAGATATGTTTGCTCACAATTATTATTACAGGCGAGGTTATCTGGGTCATGACAACTGGACTTCTTTCTTGTTAGGTTGAAATGTTTCGCTACCCATCCAAGTATCTTCTTCAGTCTGAGGAGATTATTTTAAGCAACTGAATTTCCTTTCTACTTCAATCTTAAATAAATATGTTAAACTGATCATTTGAGTGATTTAGTTCCTTGGCTGTGATTTGGCCTTCAACCATCACATCACCAGATCATTAAAAACAGAACAAAATGCATTACCAGGAAATCCAAGACTACCCAATAATGCAAACCTGTGAATGAGGCTTAGGGCATTTACCCACCTGCATGTCATTCAGATCTCTGCCTGTATTAATCTGATTATTTGTTCATTTATTGTGTTGTTTTTTGTTCTCATAACAACCACAAAGCCAGTAGCAGAAGTAGTAATCACTAGCAGCTCCAACAAAAAACAGATTTATTTAATAAATGTATTTATTTACTTAAAATATTTTTATCCAGGCTTTCTCTTTCAAAAGGACCCAAGACAGCTTATATCAAAAATACAGCATTTAAAGCTAATAATCATGAGTATACAAATAAATTGACGACCAAATTTTGAGTTGACTTCCAAAAGAATAGGGAGAGATGAAAGTATTCAGTATCCATCATCAATTCCATCTTATTTATATGGAGTTTCAATTTATAGGATTTCATCCCATTCATTGACTCTTGACACCTAATAATTTGCCTGTAAATGCTAGTTACCAAGAATAAAAAAACACACTTTTTAATCATCTGTATCACATGGCAATACAGTTGGAGTTGGTTCTTGCACCTTGCATGGTGTACCAATCTCTTGAATGACATTTTAAAAAGTGTGTAATGGTTTGAATTAAAATTCACTGCTTCCCTCAGAGCACAAAAATGCAATAAATCAAGACAACAAATTACTTCTATGCTTTGCTGGGGAATTAGCATCCGTATATGGGAAATAAAACAGTAAATTTATGGCCTCAATCAATTTGTTTTAATGTATATAACTCCATCATTTGTTTTATTTACCTTCTTCTACCATTCCCTGCCCCTAAACTAAACCTCTTCTAGAAACAACTCCGGATGGAAAGGTAATAGCCTGTTATGGATCATGTCACGGCAATTTTTAAAACTCCAGTGCATTATAGAAACTATTATAGAACTCGAGCCTACCAATTACTGGAACCATTAGAGAACTCCAGCTTAATGAATACTTCATGAAGGTGAACCAGTGTCATCCTGAACTTAGTTATTTTTGAGAAAATAAACAACCAAGCTGAAGACCTGTAATACACAGGCACAGACAGAATGAAAGTCATATCCATGGACAGCATTACTCACTCAGAACCTCTGTCCTCTAGTAATTAAGGACTCTTGAGGAACTGCCCTTGTGAATTCCAGTTCAAACCAACATGACCCCTAGATTCTTGTAGCAATATGTGGATTCAAACATAATCCAAAGCATTATCCCCTCTTATTGTTATATTCCAGTTATTGGTTTAAAATATACTGATTAACATTTTAAAAACACTGATTCATATCCTGGCTTCTTTCAAAACTGGGATTCTTACCACAGGTTTCTTCTAAAGTAAAGATAAAAGCACAGAAGATAAAATATTACAGTACAGTTTTGAAAAATATAATATAAAAATTGAATTAATTAAAAGCAGAGCACCCACTGATTATCTTTATCTAAGAGAGGGAAAGTATGTTATAAGATTAGAAACAGAGCGATTTATGGGGTTTCCTCTTTCATTTCTTAAAGGTAAAGGTAAAGGTTCCCCTTGACAATTTTTGCCCAGTCATGTTCGACTCTAGGGGGCGGTGCTTATCCCCGTTTCCATGCCATAGAGCCAGCGTTTTGTCCGAAGACAATATTCCGTGGTCACATGGCCAGTGCGACTTAGATACAGAACGCTGTTACCTTCCCACCGAGATGGTCCCTATTGATCTACTTGCATTTGCATGCTTTCGAACCACTAGGTTGGCGGGAGCTGGGACAAGTGACGGGCGCTCACTCCGTCGCGTGGATTCGATCTTACGACTGCTTGGTCTTCTGACCCTGCAGCAAAGGCTTCTGCGGTTTAGCCTGCAGCGCCACCACGTCCCTTTCATTTCTTACTCTTGTATAAACTGTTTACAACAGTTGATTTAATGTTAAACAATAGTCCCCAGATATCAATCATCCTTTGTCTACTGAATTGGGTGCAGCAAGAATCCCGAGGGCATATTATCCCTGTGTCATAAAGGTCCTATCAGAGATATTCTGTCTCGTACTACTTGTAGTACAGTATAGCCAGCAGATGTAGTAGCACAAAGACAGCACTGAACTATATCTCAAATGACAGACCTGACAATCTTCCCGCTCTCAAAAAACATCCCAGACAATCCTCAATTGCCACATTAGTTGACAGGTCTCCTCATGAACTGATATATAACAGATGTTTCCTAAATCTTGCTAATATCTGCCTATTAATCTGGTAACATTAATTGGCAAATCTAAAAAATTGCTAAAACACATGGTAAAGAGGAACCCCAACAGTGGGAAGATGAGTTTAGGGTCAAGTATAAAGAAAAGGGTAGCTCTCTGCTTTGAAAAAAAAATGATAAAAATATCATTGGCAAAATTTCTTCCTCCTTTTATCTTGATACCAGCATTTACCTCAATTTAGTATCCGACTTACAATGAAACTAACCATGGATATTCTTAACCAGGTTCTTTTTTCACCATCTTTTGCAAACCCAGATTTCAGATCCTGATTAAGATGAGAACCTGGTTAGCATGAGTCATAGTATCATCATTGCACATATAATACTGAATCATGATGACCAAATTTGTGTCTGAGAGAACTCAGCATATATTAACAAATTTGGCTCCCAGTTCGCAAACTGTGGGGAGCAAGTACTGTGTTTATCAGATATAATGACTTAAGAGGTCATCTGAAAACTGATGATAACATGAACATATCAGTTATTATTAACATACAAAGTAAAAGATATTGCATTACCTGTTTTGGTATTGATGATGAAAAAATTCTGGGGGTTTCCACTGGTAATCCTGTAGGTCAACTTTTCGTTAGTGCTGGAATCAGGATCTTGAGCCTGTATCTGAATAACTGATACATCCTTAGGGGAGTTTTCCAAAACAGATGGATAATAAATGGGCTCAGAAGTCAATGGGGCATTGTCATTCACATCTTCCACCTCCACATAGACTTCAATTGTGGTATAAAGTGGAACGACACCACGATCTGTTGCATACACAGTTAGCCAATAGGACTGAGTTGTCTCTCGATCCAGGATATCAGCTGTATATATAACTCCTGCAGAAAAAGAGAGAGAAATATTAAGGGTTTCTGGAAAGAACAAGAGAGCAATCTCAAGTGCAAAGCTGCAAAATAGAACTCCATGAGAAAATGCTGCATAGCCATTCTATGCAATCAGATGCCCAAATCCAGAGAGCAGGTTGGTTGATAAGAGATAGCCGCTGTGGTTGGTTGATGTCCATCAATATGAGGACACCAGCTTTCCTGACCAGTAGCTGATTATATGCAGTCTTCCTCTTTGCCTATTTTTCTTTCACACTCCGCCCTCAGACATTCTCCATACTATCATCCTCTTTGTTCAGCCCCTCCTACTCCTTGACCATCCCAACTTAGGATGCAAAACAATGCCATCTACTGTGAAACTTGCTAGGGGTGTAAAATGGAGGAATTCACATTTTAACCGATCACATGACACAAAGGCCAATTTGAATCAATCCTGCCTTTTTTGCTCTCTGCTGCTGGGGCCTTCTCCTTTTTTCAAGGTGGAACAAATTAAACAGATTCTTCCCTATGTGATTAGTTGTTTCATTCTCCAAAAGGAGGTGCTTGTGACTGTGGGTGATGTTCTGGTGACATAGTAAGCTGGGCGTGATGTTTTGGACAGTAGGAACACCTACAGTACTTGAAAATCTTTCTCCCTAATCATTCCGAAGTATTCCTTTCTTTTTTTAAAAAAACAAACTATCAGGTTTAGCACTAGATCACCTGATCACTACATTGATATACTAGTATAGCGCTAGATCACCTCTGCACAGCTGATCAAAAAATATTAAAATTCAATATGAAATAGGAAAAACTTCTACAAACTACAGCAGGCTACTATATCCATGTAGTATATGTGTAGGTTTTTGTACATTATAGAGAACTTTGAAAAACTACTCCCTTTCCTAATCTTGTGCAACACTTTAAACAGCCCACCAGCTTTACAATGAACCATAAAAGGAGAATGGGAGACTGGCAGAGGGCGGGATTAAAGGAATGGAGATGGTGAGCTGTGGCACAGATCAAACTAACTGAAGGGCCAGCGTGGCCCCTGGGACCGAAACAATCCACAATCTCCGCGTGATAATGTAATCCAAACAGATGCATAAAAGAGAATGCAAATCAAGCCTTGCCCTTACTAACAGCAACATATAAACTGATGTGCACTGTGGAACATGTCAGTGTGAAGTGACAATTCACTCATTATGGGCAATGTACTAGACTGACGAAAAACTCCACCCCTTTTCATGAATTAAATTAAAAGGTAGAGGAACGTGGTAGGTTCTGTCTCTTCCTAATGATGTAATGAATATTCAATCACATATTTTATTGCTACCTTTGACATTTTGGCTTATCAGGGATTCCTTCTTGAATCCCTGTGGAGACTGGGAGATTTCCTGGAACACCAGTAGCGAGCAATAATAAGCACAGTTGTTGGTTGCCTCTCGCGCGGATTTCCAGGGCAAGATTAAGTCTGGCAGTCCTGCACTGCTTGTGATTTAAATTCATATTCTCCCATAGCACAATTCTACCTCGTTGTTACTCTTGTCAATTTCAGGCTGTTATACTAGTCAGTTTCAGACGCCCTACATGAAATGATAACAAACCATTTGAAACCCGATCAGTGCAAGAGTCTGAAATTCATAAGAGCAGCAAAGAGTCAACCAAAAGAAATGGGCAAACATAAGACTTCAGGCACAAACAGTGCAGGACTTCAAACTTGAATTCCACACAGGAAATTGTGGGAAGGGCAAAAAATGGTTCTCTTCTAAAGCTTAGAGGCAGGGAAGACAAGTAACATAATCACAAATTCAAAACATTCTGTGATTTAATGCAATGGTATAACAAACGGAATCCCACAGTACAGGAAGAGTCCCCCCTTCCCCTCAGTCAAAAAATCCCTGATTATTAGCTAAATGAGTTCACAAAATTATAGCCAAGACAGCCTTCACTGTTTGCTATTCTGTTCTTAATGGCCAAGTAATGGCCCATATAGACCAATGCTCAGGCAATCTGATTAACATTCATTGTTTGCTTGCACAGCAGAAGGGAAGGACAGTAAGAGCTGATCAGGAGTCCTGACAAAAATGGCATCAGCTCCCGTACAACATCTAAGGAATTATGAACACAATTTCACAGGAAGGAACTGAAGACATTTTGCTAACCTGGAAATCTCAGGGGTGGGAGGAAAATCCTGTCAGAAGCTTACCTCCTGCTAACACTCCTTCACTGAATGTTTCAGTAAAGCCAACATATCTGTTACATAACCAAGCGTCTGGATGTCAAACACATTCTTAATTGTACAAACTGAGGCAACAGGGTATTGGGCGTGAGAAACATTAACATATTCAACAAATGCACAGAAGATCAGAATCAAGGTACTCTATATAACTAGGCCAACCGACCAACTATACAGTGGTGCCCCGCAAGACTATGTTAATTTGTTCCGCAAAAATTGCTGTTTTGCGAAAACATTGTCTTGCGAAATGCGGTTTCCCCCATTGGAATGCATTGAAATGTATTTAATGTGTTCCAATGGGGAAAAATTGTCATCGTTTTGGGAAAATTGCCCATAGGAAAACCGTTTTGCGAAGTGCGGATCAGCTGTCAAAATCGCTGTCTTGCGAAAAACGGTCCCGAAAACACCCGTTTTGTGAGTTACGGATCTAGCTCTCAAAATCATCGTCTTGCGAAAAACGGTCCCAAAAACACCCATTTTGTGAGTTACGGAACTAGCTGTCAAAATCATCGTCTTGCGAAAAACGGTCCCCCCAAAAAACCCATCTTGCGAAGCACAGACTGAAACATCGTCCAGCGAAAATCACCCATAGGAAACACCATTTTGCGAAGCGCTATAGTGATCGCAAAAACTCATTGTCTAGCGAATAAACCGTTTTGCGAGGTAATTGTCTAGCGGGGCACCACTGTACTTCTATGTAGCCTATGCTAATGTCTTCGATTCATACATACACTAGAACTGAGAATATGCAGCAACTTATCCTGTGCATTCTGAACATTCATTTTAAGTTTCTACAGTAGTTGCATATTATTTCCTCCATCTTAAGTAAGATGCCCTGGCTCATTTCTGTTTGGACTTCCATTGGATTGCTGTCATCCCACGGTTCCTTTAACCATCTGTAAAAGTATTACCACAGATCAACTAGCTCCATGTCTTTAACTGTATTTGCTACCATGCTCTGGACTAAGGCAATTTAGGAACTATTTCTGGCTTCTACTGAAACTATTAACCCAGGCTGACCTTAATGAAAATGTACTGAGCATTTTAATATTCCAAGTCCCACCTAAAGAGACAGACTTAACTGCAATTACTGAACAGCAGAAATAGCACTAAGCATATAGTGATAATCCATAGTGTGTGTCTAGAACTAGCCAGTTCACTTACAGTATATAAATTCAATACTTTTTTTGGGGGGGGGGGTGTTAATTCTAATCCATCATTAAAATTCAAGGATGAAACGTTTTGAAAAGAAAGATCCTGGGAGCAAATAATAGACAGAATTAGGAAGGAAGCCATAGGGCAGAATGGAAGGAAAGGAAAGTTGGATTTAGCTGCCAATGCTAGTTAAAGAGTTTAAGTACATCAATTTGTCATTCACAGGAGAAAGATATGGCTCTTAGGGAGTGCTAATAGAGAATTTTTGATTATGCTATCCAGTGAACACTTCTCCAGGACCGCCTGCAGTCGTATGCACAGTTTTAGATAGCAAGCATGTGATTCTCCCCATAAGGAGCTACTGGCAAGTATGTTTAAGCCTTACAAGATAATATTAATGCCAGGTACTAAGAGTCATACTCACTTGTATAAACAACAGGGGTCTGAAGTAAAATGTTGAATAATTTTAACAATTCGCCAATGAATTATTAGGTATAACAGCAGCCATACTTAATAGGGGGCATTGGCACATTTGAAGAGGGCCACAGACTGGAAACAATTCTTCATATACCACCTTATGAGGTTCGTTATGTGACTTATACAATCCTGATTTGGCCTATATTTCTTTCGT